GCAGGCGGCGAAGCCGCGGTGAGGACGTCAGGGAGGCGCGGCCGAGGGGGAGGGCGGAGGCGGCGTGGCAGGGGGAGACGCCGCGCCGGACGAGTCGCGCCTGGGATCGCCAGCGCCGTCGCCTGAGCAGTCCGCCATCACTCCACGGAATGCAGTAATTAGAAAATCTGATGTTTCAACTTCAATCCAAGGATATTGATTGATGTAACCAGGTGGTGTCCCGTGCACAAGGTGCCAACCGGGAAGAGATGGATGCGATCGATCAGGGGTGTACGTAGGACACGTAGTCCTTACCTACGCAAGTCCTCGGGTGATCTCGCCTCTCCATCGGTGAGGAGAAGTTGCAGGCGAGGGTGAGCTTCCGCCGGCTTATCTTCAGACTGAAAGAAAAATAGACGTCGATCGCGACGACGTGCCTCGCAGGGTCTCCCACACGGCTCTGGCTTCTAGAAGTCTTGAAAAATAGGCAATAGCGCCCACTCCATCCATTTTGAAGAATCGATTCTTAGCTGAATAGAGTAACTGTAACTATATGGATACATACCCCAAAAGATAGAACTTTTAGTTTACGACTACTTCATAAATAAATAAATACAATAATTAAGAAACCTACAGTTGTAACTATAAATTAGAGCTATGGAACAGGAGAGCTGAGCTCATATGGTTAATGAGGTGACTGTAATCTAATCAGTGATCCCATCTAAAGTTGCCTAGCAGATACAATAATATAGTATTTTAAAATATATCTATCTAGTATAACCAGTGATTATTTACAAGGCAATTGTGCTAAGTTTGCATTAATTGGAAGGGATACTAAATTTCAATCTCCCCCCTTAGCAACTTTGCAAAAAAGTCGTTTCTACTCCCGCGAGAGCTATGGTAAATCTTGCGCTGCCGGCACCACTCGCCAGCCCCTCCTCTCTACCCTCATCGTCGCCGCAGGGCACCGCCAGGTGAAGCCTGTGCGGCACTGGCGTGGAGGGGGGGAGGGGGGTGTTCCCCTCGTCGACACAATGCATCGGGCGGAGTGAGGCAGCCAAATCGTGTGGGTCTGGCAAGGCCTCCAACGATAGTGCGACTATCTGTCGACACTATTGATGTCGGTCGACGGGGTGGTGGATGTTGGCTGGCGGTGGGCGAGCTCGAGAGGCCGACTCGGCCAACAATGGCGTTGTGGTCCTCTCCTTCACTTTCTACCCATGCGACGGTCCGAATTCGGTTCCCATCCAAACCCTACAAGACCTGTGTGGGTCGTGGTTAGATCAGCTGCCAGACAGGCCGTAGAATCTCGCAGTCCTCTCGTGTGGTGGTTGTGAGTCATTGGATGGTTGGCCCTTGCTCAAACTGGGCAGGGTGAGGGTGGTAGTATCCAAATCTAACCATGCTTGGGTGGGCACGGGCCTGGGTGTTCTACAGGGGTGGGAAGGAAGCCACCTTTAAACCCATTCCTTCGGTTGCCGGTGGTTGCCGGCCTGGTATGAGGGCGGGGGCGAAGCCAATGGATGCTGGGATGGTGACCCTTGATGGTGAGGTTCACAATTGGTTCTCTGAGGAGCATCATTGAGGCAGGTATTGGCGGTATGCTTCGACCATGTGGATGGCGAGGTGTGCAATGATGGTCTAATCCTGATATGCATCTGGAGTTCCTAAAATGTCGTGTTGGTTTACTATTGGGGTGGGTCTTTGGCCTGCTCCTGGTGTGGTGTGTAGGGGCGGTGAAAGGTTATAGCCTCCACGTCGGCGGTGGCAATGCCTGCTGGTGTCATGTTTCTCTTGGGGCGCGCCTTGGTCCCTTCCCTCCTCTCTCACACTCAAGGTGAAAATGTTGTCCGCTTGGGCAGACGCGTCGGCGGCGCGTGGCATCATTACCTTTTTGGAGGCGTTGCCATCGGGTGTCGGTGGTTATTGGTTGTGTCGAATTTCTACAGTGCCTCTTCTCGGCAGCACTCCGGTGGCATTTTATTGTAGACTCTTGTGTGATTTTTGCGTCTTCAATGTGGTGTGCCGCTTTTTCGTTTGTTGATGAGCTTTTGAGAGCTTCCTCAGCACCTCGTATTTATATATAAAATGGTGAAAAGCCTGATTCATGGAAGTTAATAAATTTCAATAAATCGACATATAACATTGGAGAACATCTATAATTTTGAATTATCTTCTCATGTATAACTATGTGAGCGTGTCACAACAATAAAGTTGGATGAAATTTATACATAAAGGTGTTTGCTTTATTTTTATGGTGCAAATGTTTTCGCTCTTTTCAAGCAGGATATTCGTTGTTTCTGGGGGGAAAATGTGTCATGTGCTCTTTAGATGGTGGAAAGAAATCAACTTGTCGAGCAAGAACACATGAGATGCAAAAAGTACTTATGAAAAGTATGTTTTGCCTGCAACATGTTTGTTTTCTGCAGAAAGAAGTATTACCTCTGTTCTGAATTATAAGACGTTTCGAATATTTTAATATGGACTACATATAAAATGAGTGAACAAATGCAATAAAACACGACTTTATACATTTAATTCAGAGAAAAGTTTTTTTTGTGGGGCAATTTAGAGAAAAGTTACTAAAACATCTTATAATTTGGAATGAAGGGAGCATCGGAAAGAAAAATCGACGTCGATCACGACTATTCAGTCTTGTGCCTTGCATCCACACAAAAAAAACTTCTTTTTTAGGGAAAAAGGAAATTCTTGTGCCGTGTAAGTTCCTCCCTACGTGATCACCAGGGCCACTTGATCGGTTTATGTAGTCGCCATCTCTGGCTTTCTAGATGGCTAGAAAAGTCTCCCTCAAAAAAAAAGGATGGCTTGAAAAGTCACGTAACTAATTTCTCGAGGCTACCCTCGCTCACACTCACACCAATTGAGCCAAAACCTCGAAGCAAAACTGCAGACATGTGAAGCCAACCGGCGGCCTGTATTTAACTCCACTCAGACCCGTGCTGCGAATCCGCGATACGATCGTACTACGTACGGTTCCTGAACTCCTCCTCTCCACTGAAGCCAACCCGAGGTCTCCAGATGCTGGGGGACGCCTCTCCGTGGAGCATCCCCGGCGCGGCAGTAGCCGTGGCGTTGCTGTCGTTAGCCGCCTGGATTCTGGAATGGGCATGGTGGACGCCGCGGCGGCTGGGCAGGGCTCTGCGGGCCCAGGGCCTCAGGGGCACCCGGTACCGCCCCTTCAGCGGCGACGCACCGGAGGACGCCCGGCTCAACAGGGAGGCTCGATCACAGCCCATGCCGCTTGGCTCCCACGACATCATCCCTCGCGTGCACCCCATGCTCTGCAACGCCGTTAAGGAGCACGGTAATCTTTCAGTCGCCAAATTCACAAGTTCTTTTGAACTTTTTCTTTTCTCCCTCGTTAGGGATGTCCTCTGAGCTTCTGATACATAGCAGGGAAAATGCCATTCACTTGGTTTGGCCCAACGCCAAGGGTGATGATTTCTGACCCGGACCTAGTGAGAGAAATTCTGTCCAACAAGCTCGGACACTATCGGAAACAAAGGAGTAGCCGTATGGGGAAGCTGCTAGCCGACGGAGTCGCAAATCATGAAGGAGAGAAATGGGCAAAGCACCGAAGAATCCTCAATCCTGCCTTTCACCATGAGAAGATAAAGGTGCCGGTTCAATGAAAAACTCATTATTTTCTCATTTTAAATCACAGCATGGGTATTGCATAGGCTGATAGTAATGTTTCATTTGCAGAGGATACTGCCAGTTTTTTCTACCTGTTGCGAAGAAATGGTTACAAGGTGGGAAAATTCCATGTCCGGTGAAGGGTTATCTGAGATTGACACATGTTCTGAGTTTCAGAATCTTACGGGAGATGTCATCGCAAGAACATCATTTGGTAGCAATTATCAGGAAGGGAAGAAAATATTCCAGCTGCAAGGGGAGTTAGCTAAAAGACTGATGCAGGCCTTTCAGACATTTTTTATCCCAGGCTATTGGTAAGTTCTCCCCTTGCACCAAAAAAAAAAATATCTTTCGACTTGCAGGAGTACTTGTAACCTTTATAGCGCAAGCTCATATCATTTCTAGCAAATGGAGTAGAGCACTGCATACATGGTCTGTGGTGTTTGATGGAAAATACAGTAGGTATTTTAGGCACTTGCAGTTTAACTTCGCTTGGAGGTGATCAAATGGAATAATAGTAGGCTTCCCTTTTTTTGGAAATGGAAGAGTGAGCATGTTAAAATTAGTAAAGAGTGAGCATGTTAAAATTAGTAGACTGATCAAAGAAACTTTTATTTTTCATGTTAAACTTAAACAGTAGAAATCAAGATTTTCTTTCCTATGCTGACATGTCAGAACATTTGCAGGTTCTTACCAACAAAAAATAATAGAAGGATGAGAGCAATTGATCGTGAAATCCGCATGATTATGCAAGGCATTATTGGAAAAAAAGAAAGAGCTATTAAAAATGGTGAAGCCAGCAGCAATGACTTGCTAGGATTGCTGTTGGAGTCAAATATGCAACAATCAAATGGGAAGGCAGGCCAAGGGATGAGTATTGATGATATAATTGAGGAATGCAAGCTATTTTACTTTGCAGGCATGGAGACAACATCGGTCTTGCTCACATGGACACTGATTGTGCTAAGCATGCACCCAGAGTGGCAAGAGCAGGCAAAGAGAGGAAGTGTTGCATCACTTCGGACGAGCCACACCAGATTATGAGCACCTGAGTCGCCTGAAGATTGTAAGTACGAAATTGATGCCTTGTGCACATATTGCAGGATAAAATGAAATCAAATAACCCACAATCATCAAAATGATAAAAGAGTAGCCAACAATAAAACCTACTCCTATCAGATTTCCATTCCATTAAAAATTGTACTGCATGTCTGCATATACAAGTGAGTGAAAACAATTTTTTTTCGAAAAGAAGGATTACTTAAAAGTATTCTTTTTTGAGCAAAACAGGATTATGTGATGTTTTTAAGTATAGAGTTGTCGGAGTAATGTTCTTGATCTTGTGTATTGTTTTGCAGGTAACAATGATTTTGTATGAGGTTCTTAGGTTGTATCCGCCAGTAACCTATCTTACCAGAAGAACTTACAAGGCAACGGAGCTTGGCAGCATCAAATATCCTAAAGGAGTGACCCTTATTTTGCCCCTTCTCTTCATCCACCATGATCCTGATATTTGGGGAGAAGATGCAAGTGAATTCAATCCACAGAGGTTTGCTGATGGCATCTCGAGCGCCGCGAAGCATCCGTCGGCGTTCTTCCCGTTTGGAGGGGGTCCACGGATCTGCATCGGCCAGAACTTTGCGTTGCTAGAAGCTAAGATGGCACTGAGCACCATCCTCCAGCGCTTCTCGTTTGAGCTCTCGCCGTCCTACACGCACGCGCCGTACACCATGATGACCCTCCAGCCGCAGCACGGTGCTCAAATTAGGCTGAGGAAGATATGATCATGCTTCTCATCGGGCAGTGAATTTACTTACGTGTTGCATATAGTTTAAAGTTTTATCTTTCGGCTGAATAAACTATATACTACTCCCCCCGTTCCTAAGTATTTGTCTTTTTAGAGATTCAAATGAACTATCACATACAGATGTATATAAACATATTTTAGAGTGTACATTCACTCATTTTGCTTCGTATGTAGTCACTTGTTAAAAACTCTAGAAAGACAAATATTTAGGAACAGAGGGAGTAGTAGTTACAGTTGAACTGCTCGTTTCCTTCAGTTCATAATAGTACTACTGCAAGTCTGTAACTGTCATTTAATGGAACTCCTTTCATCAGGCTGCACAAACATAAATGATGACAATGTTAACTCTCTCGACCATACAGCTTCTGCATCCTCCTTACACCGGGGTAACCGTGGCTAACCGATCGGGCTGCACGGGCACGGCAGATATTTGGTTTCTCAACTCTCAAGCGGAAAGGAGATAATCAACTCGCCGCCATCAGACGCCAGCTCATGTCCTCATTATCATTTGTGTTCAAAGGTCTCCACCACCGCGCGTTAGCCCTTCCCTTGCCGGCTTGCTGATTGCCAATCCCACAGAATCCGTGCACCCCTGATCTTTCCTCAACGGTTGAACTGTCAATTCGCTTTAACAGAAAAAAGTTGACATGTCAACATTGTAAGCACCGCTTCTTTTTGCACGAAATTCCCGCGACGACTAGCTCATCAATTTCCACTAGGCATTTCTTTTTGGTGAGCTTCAGTTTTATTTCAAAACTAAACTCAATAAATAAACCTTTTTTTGCGGGGTCAATAAAAAAAACTTTACCAAGTAATATCATCTCCTAGATAGTCGCTACGTCTCCCGAACCAAATATGAATCGGCCCCTTGAAGAACCAAATGGGTTTCACGTGCCTTCTGAATGCTGCTCATTTCAAGCAAGTGAGTTTGTTCCTATGTTTCATAACTAGTAGAACGCCCGTGCGTTGCCACAGGCTTTTTATTTTTACATAATCTTATATTTACTGATTGGAAGCATCATACGAGGCTCCATGTTAATCCTAGAAACAGAACAATGATAGCCGTAGGATTGCACGTTAGGCCAGGCACCAAAAAAAAGCAATATAAAAGACCCCCGTATCAACATGTACAATCAGGAAAGAGTCCACGTGAATCCAAAGAAAAAAAAAGAGTCCATGTATGTTTCAACAAAAAAAAATGAAAGAGTCCACGTCCCAATTCCCCACCAAAAAAGGGTGCACGTCCCTATTCTTAAAAAATCATTCACGTACATATTCCTCAAAAAAAAGACACGTACAATTAAATAATGTTCCAGCATGATGTTAAAAATAAAATACAATGCCTGCTCATATATTTTTTTGTGTGTAAATTCTTAGAAAAAAACAAACCAAAAAAATCCTGCGTTATGAAATAAATTCACAATCGATTCTTTTAATATGTGAAATCGCCTAACTAAAACTAGACCGAATCTATTTAGTTTAATATGTGAAATCACGTAATTGTAATATTACTAGAAAAATGCACATCAAATGTCAGGGAGAGGAAAACCATACACGAGCAGAAAACTACAACGTCGCATCAAAAAGATGTACAGTGTCCTATCATGTTCTACCACAAGCACGTTTAGTTTCTCTTAAAAAGTCACACACGCATGTGTCAAAAGAAAAGATGAACAACACCCTTTAAAATAGGTACAACGGAGTTCAAAAATAAGCTACAACGCCGAGTCCGAAAAAAGAGTACAATGACCTATCATATTCTCCCACAAGCACGGCTTCTTTCTTGAAAGCCACACTTAGGTCTCCTAAACTGTCCCTATTGATTTCCTTTCGAAAAACCACTCTGCTGATTTATTTCATATCCAAGGAAAGAAAAACACATCAACATGTTGCTGCAAAAATCCTTCTTCAGACCGCCGCCCGCCCCGATGGCACATCATATAATCCCTCCCTACGGCTGCTCTTCCTAATCTTCAGCCTTGCCGCGTCGTGTATTCTTCAGCCATCAGCGCGACCTTTAGTCTTCCATCAACAGCTAGAATCAATCTAAAAGGAGGTATAGTCCAATCCTTCATCTCCTACTGTGATAATTTTTCTCTCAACCTTGGAAATCATTATTGTTATCATCCATTGAACATAGATGATAGTCTTTGTAAAAGTTTAGATTTTGCCCCGTCTAGAGTGTTGTCTACTATTCCTGATAATTGGTATTTTGGGGGTGTAGGAAGTAACCTAAGTACTTCCGTACATAGTTCTTTAACATCAAGGAGACATGCCGATTGCAAAACCGATTGATGTATGCCTCAGTTATGTATTGGAGCATGAAAGCCGAAGCCAGAAGAATCAAGACACATGAGATGTTTCTTAGGGATAATCATAAATTTTACTGAGTTACAGTTAAATAGTTTTTTGGTCTAAAATTTGCGATATAAAATTTCTTAGAATTATCATAATTTTCATGATGAGACTTTTAAAAAATTGGGTTGTACATTAATTATTTACTCTATGAAGTAATATAGCGCCACCAATATATTTATCTTATACCGGACTTATAACCAGCAGAGATGTGTTTTTTTAAAACCATCATCAAGTATAGGAATTCCATGAGAATATTACTCTGAGTATTATCTGTCACAAAATCTCATGCACATGCAAACTATAAAAGCCCTATACAAATGTGTCATATGTATATAACAATCATTTTTATCTCAATTCTTTTATAAAAAAGACATGTACAATATATTTTCTGAACATCCTGCATATAATCAATTAGTAACGGAATGTTGTTCAATATTATTGATCTTAGCAAATCTCATCAGGCAACGTTTCACCTTTGGTTTACAGATTTTTTTTTCATGTACTGAGTTTACTTATGAAGTGCATGCTTCTTTAAGATTATGAGACACATAAAGACATGGGAATCATATTTTTGCAAACTCTATGGAGAAATGTGATTCCTATTCATTCAAACGCTGCAGGCTATTACATCTCCCCAAATATTTGAAACGGGTATCCCCAATAAGAATTCAAATGTGTATCATAAAATAAAAAGGTTCTATCATTACAAACAAAATATAGGTTGTCACATATTTATTTCAATATGAAATGCATATGAATTTGCTAGGCCGTGCGGATGCACGGGTTGACGACTAGTGTTGTATAAAACTGGATGAATTTTCGTCCCCTTTCAATGCTTCGCCTCGGGGTCCTTGTCGATGTTTTTGAACATTGACATAATCCATCTTCATCTCTCTCATACTGTAAAAAATAAACATTCATAGAAGTACATCTTTTGTATTATCACGTGCAAAATATATACAAAGAACAATTATTTGTATGCACCTCTTTTGATTGCGTAAAGCTTGATGAGATTTCTTCACCATAGTTACGTCAGGCCAATCGGCATTTTCAAATCATCATTCCAAACAATCAATTTTTATCTTTGATCCATAAAAGTGAACATTTAAACATATACTCTAGTGTTACAAAAATAAGCTCGTATGTATCCATTGGTCAGCTGCTAGATGCGAGTGTGTGATATTTTTAGTTAGAGTGAGTGACATTGTACTTTTTTGTAGAGTGTGTCACATCCCTATTTGAATAAACTATAGTCTCGTGTGTAAATCAGTTGTTGATAAATTATTCTCGAGAAATGACTTATTAGGCTATGTGATCTTATTCACTATATAAAAAAATATGTGACATTTCTCTCATAGCAAACAACTAATTTTTCTAAAAAAGAAACAATCATCTAAGCATAGAATTATGAATGGAATAAGACCCACATCAACATGCAACCATGCATGGAGAAAGAACCACCACAACATTCAACCATGCATTGAAGAATGTTTTTCATTCAACTATTCTACTTATATTCAATTGATATTTTCCTCTACACTAGTAGAAAAAGCCCCATTTGTCCCGGTTCATGAGGCCCATTTGTCACGGTTGCCGAACGTGGCCGCTGCGGCTTGCCCAGGCAGGAGGGCCTTTTGTCCCGGTTGGTGCCACCAACCGGGACCAAAAGCCTTCCATGCGTCAGCAGTTCAGGGGCTGGGATTTTTTGATTTTTTTTCTGAAGGGGGGTGGGGGTTTTGGGGTTTTTGTAGGGTTAATTTAGGGGTTTCATATATTGTGTTAGCTAGCTAACAGAGAGAAGTGTCCTCTCTTATCTCCGTGCTTTGTCGATGCTACATATTATACGTATAGAGAGGACTCGACACACTAGCTAGCTAGTAAGAAAATGAAGAAAACCATTAAGTACAGAAGATCTGTTGGGGAACGTAGCAATAATTCAAAAAAAATCCTACATGTCACCAAGATGAGATGCTAGCAACGAGAGAGAGAGGGAGTGCATCTTCATACCCTTGAAGATTGCTAAGCAGAAGCGTTACAAGAACGCGGTTGATGGAGTCGTGCTCGTGGCGATTCAAATCGCGGAAGATCCGATCTAGCGCCGAACGGACGGCGCCTCCGCGTTCAACACAGGTACAGAACGGGAACGTCTCCTCCTTCTTGATCTTGCAAGGAGAGAGGAGAAGTTGAGGGAGAGCTCCGAAAGCATGACGGCATGGTGGTGGAGCTTGCGGTTTTTCTGCAGGGCTTTGCCAACCTCTACAGAGGAGGAGGAGGTGTTGGGGAGGGAGGGGCTGCG